CAGAGGGTTGCAGGAGGCCGTAGCCACTGAAAACGGAGATTGGGAGCCCATTTTCTCTGGCAGAGTGCTTAAGCCACCCCGGGTGCCCCTGACATGAGTGATGTTGAGTTGGCCACACACACCCTGCCCCCCCCCACCCCCCCAAGGTCAAACACAACCCTGATGCAGCCCTCAATGAGTTTGACACCCCTGTGATAGAAGCAGGCTTTAACAGGTCTGAGCAGTTTGATTCAGGTAACCTTTTAGTGTTCATTTTAAGAGGACTGGAATGGATATTGGTAAATGAATGAAGAATAAAGATGTACTACGTTTCGTTTTCAATCTTTTTTCTACCCAGAACTCTGGCTTTAAATTATTTTGGGCAGTTTACAGTCATAGCATTAAAGATATTTTTAAAGTTATTCCTGCAAAATAATTGCAGCAAAAATGCATATATTTTAGTGTTTTGGTGAAGGCTGAATTTTGAGACACAAATGCAGGTGGGAAAATGCATTGACCAGCAATGTAGAACCTTTTTTACATGACTAATCATTCAAATTGTACCACGCGCACAAAAAAATCAGTTTATTTATAATGTAAGATCAAATAGCCTAATTGATATACAGGGATTCACTTGAAAGGTTTTATTTCATTAAGTTTTTTTTTCTTTCTTAAGAAAGAGCTGAGTTTGCTTTGCAATAATTAGAGAGTACAGAACTAGTTCAGTTATAATAGCCCTAATAATTTCAATAAAGGGTGTGTCTCATATATTCGCTTCTTTCTTTTGGTCCTTTCACACCTATTTTTCAGAAGACCTGGTTAAATTTGTCTGTTCCATCCAATCTTGAAAAGCCAGGATGGTGCATACATATCATAGTTTTATTGCAAATTAAGAGTGACAAACCAGAATAAAACTTAATTTGGGCAGAGATTGTGATATAGAACAGAGTGCCATTTTTCCCCCCCAGGTTGAATCTTCGCCAAATCAAAAAGGAGTATATATGTTTACAGTAAAGGTATCCACAATGCTGGTTCTGTCTTTATCCTGCCCTATAAATTGATATTTTCATGTTTTGCTCTATTATTAAATGCTTTTTTTTAAAGGTAAAGGAAAGATGTTGACTTATTTGAAGCATGATAGGACGTAGGTAGACATAGTAATGAACAGGTAGATACTTCTTAAAAACCTGTTCCTGAGTTGGGAACAATCTGAATCTGTGCTATGAGAAGAAGAAAATCGGTCCTAATTAACCTGTTAAGTACAAATACACTCTTAGCAATTAGAATTCAGCAGTTATATACAACTGATATTGTTGACTAAACTATTCCAAACCTCTGTTTCTGGTCTCCATTGTCTTTGTCTAGCAATCTGCAAATATAGAGTGTAAAATCCTGTAGTATCTTATGCATTTCATGAGGTAAAATAGAAATTCTTTTTTTTGTTTCAGGTTATAGGATTACTAGATGTTTTTACACCTGCAGCATCAATAGACAATTTCAACGAAGTGTAAGTAAAGTTTGAAATAAAATTGATAGTTGGCAATTTACTGGGATGGGAAGTATTGGCATTAGGTAACCAAAATCAAATGTTTATAAGTAGAATTAATTTCAGTGATATAATGAAATATGTGATCAACTTTTTCTGTTGCATTTGTCAAATTTCATAATATTTAATTTTGATGAAGTACACCTATAGGAATACAGTTTCTGGTATGAAAAACGTTAAAAGGGGTTTTGGCTTGCTACTAGAAGGAGGATGTTGTAAGATTAATCATCTTTTTGTTTAATCTTCTTTTGTAAGGGCAGTAATTTTAAATGTTTTTAAAGGAATGTTAAATGGATTAAGATGCTTAAGAAAATAATTCACTTAGAGCATCTTAGTAACTAGCTAGTTTATTATCACAATATTTATTATTTTGTTAAGTTGATTAGCTTTTAGCATGCTACAGTATTTCTTGTTTTTGCCACAGAAAACCCACCTGGTTATCCCTCTGAGAAATGTTACAATGCTGTAATAAACTAAAAAGAAAATAGGTTACTTTAGGCATGTTTGTATAGCATTGTTTGCATTCCAAGGCTTATTGAGACACTAACAAACACACGTTAGTTCCTTTTTTTCTTCATTTCATCGGCTATGAATTAAAGTCATTCACAGCCCGTAATGAGTCTCAAACAGTTTGTAAATAGTCCCATGGAAGTCTGCCAAAATGCATCTGATAAGCACACACCTTTATCTTCCTTGAAATGCTGCCAACGACTAAATTTCCAATTAGTTATACAAGGCCAAACGGAGCACAAATTCAACACAGATCTTCAGGTTTCAAACTGATCAGTACGAACAAAATTGCTTCCTGAAAAGGTTCCTGTTCCTTTGCTCCTCCTTTATGTCTTATGGGGGGGGCCAATCACCTCCAAGCCTTACTCCTGAGTCGCTCCTTTTGTCTTAACTGTTCTTGCCTTCTGGCAGCTCTGTGCATGCATGCACTGGTAACAGGCTCCCGCTGTTCCTCTGCCTTGCTGCTGTCGGATTCTGGAGGCTCTGGAGTCAGCACATAACTCCTAGACGGCCCTGGCTTGGATGCAGAACCCTCGTCTAAGTCTTCCCCAGACTCCCAAACTGGCCCATGTTCCTCCCTACTGTTGGACTCTGCTGCCAGCTCCGCAGGCTGCTGGCGGACCACAACACTCTATCCCCATAAATCATTTTAAAGCTGGCTC